ATCTCTTTAATTGAACAGGGAATTATTTATCAGCTTCGTCATATTAACACTAACAAACCTGCAGCCTCTGATATAACTTATGGAGTAATAGGATCAGAGCCTACAGGTTAATGAGTGTTAAATAGATGAAGCTGATCAATATTTTCCTGTTCAGTATAAGTGATAAGTGAAAATAAATGTCCGGGTTTTATGCAGCCATTCAATAAATCGTCAGCATTCTTTACAGTTATAAGTGTGGTGATTTATTACTTTTGTAGTAAGAATGTTTTTGATTGTAAAATATCATTGTGGCGAGAAATTATTTACTAGTGTAGCTAATCAATGTCAATTTCAATTAACTTTATTGTCACACATGTGTGTATATATTAAAGAATCTATATATAAAGAGAGACCAGACATAGTCTATCTTTAGTAAGGACCAGTATATATTTAGTTGAGTTCATAGGTCATTTTTACTCCCATAACATGAGAGGCCGCTGGTCGGCCTTTTTTCTATCGGATATGATTTTTCCGCCCGAAATCTGGGCGGAACTAAATCGGCTTGAAAAACTCAATCAAGAGGTTCACAGTTCATCACAACGGTGTCTACTCACTGTTCATGTAATATAGATCCCATATGTATGCCACAGACACAAATATATAATATATTAAGGAATAGATCACTCAAAATACATGTCCTTGTCGTTGTAGCATTCTCTGACCTACTTTAAAACATGGCTTTCATATTTAGTACAAAATAGCAGGGGGAATTTCAAACGGAACGAAACGAGATGGAGTTTGTTTGTATTCCGCTTGTTAAACATCACATGTATGTAGAGTCTATAATTAGGATGGCTAGCTACTATAATTGGTCAAGGGGACATCCAAGACTTATCTTTAGGCAACCAGAGTTTCTATCTTTAGTATTTAAGGAAGGTTTTATCTTTAGAGTTGAGTATTAATATAATATATATATATATATAAGTGCAGTGCGTCTAAAATTAGTTAGAGAGTGATTTATTTTGAGACCTTATAAAAGGGACTGTAGCTCGCTGGTTCGGGGAGTAGATGTCTGGGGAGTATTTTGATGGAGAGAAGATGTCTGAGGAGCACTTGGATTAGTAGTACTTGGATCGAGAGTTGATTGAAGGAGATGTCTATGACCAAGAGAGGAGAGGTCTTGGATTGGGGAGATAGTGATTGAGACATTTGGGGAAGGTAGACTGAGATTTAGAGTAAGTTGGAGATGAGATATTTATTAAGAAGTTAAGAGAGAGATAGTTGTAGTTAAGGTTGAGTACCAATATGAGTTGTATATGAATCCGGTGAACTTTTGCTTGGTTCTGTAATAAATGATCCGTTAACTTGAACTGTACTTGTTAGTTTTAAATTCGACGAAAATAACAGGGAAGGAATGATGTCAGAAGCGAAAGCATAAAAATGTCACAAATGGTGTCAGAGTGGAATGCCTAAAACGTCACAAATGGTGTCAGAGTGGAATGCCTAAAACGTTACAAATGATGTCAGAATGGAATGCCTGAAAACGTTTCAAATGATGGCAAAATGGAATGCCTAAAAACGTCACAAATGATGTCAGAATGGAATGCATAAAACGTTACAAATGATGTCAAAATGGAATGCCTAAAAACGTTACAAATGATGTCAGAATGGAATGCCTGAAAACGTTCCAAATGGTGTCAGAGTTAAATGCCTAAAACAGTTATACAGGTATCAGATAAAAATGAGTGTCTTGATAAGCTCTTCAATATGTTCAGATATCCGGCTCTTTTATGTCATCTGCGATCGCTTTCGGATTCATGTATGTCGATATTCTCCCGTAGAATAATTTCTATTCTCAGACGGTTAGCTTTTCAGAATCCCTGTTGCCTTCGCACAACAGCAAAGTATAAAGTCAATTACAGTTAGTAAAATGAAGATCTTTCAATAATTTGATTATTTTTACAAATCATATCATTGTCAGATAATTTGTGAACATTTATAAACAAAAAATATTGAAACCAACGAATTTGTATCTTATGTACACGTAAACGATTAATTGAATACCTTAACAACTTTAAAACATCCTTTAGATATTTCATTTTGGAAAAATAAATCCAAGAAATAAAATCACTTATAAAAATAAATATAAAAAATAAGAAGAGATAATTATACAACAGTACTCCAGTTTAAACACGCAACTCATTCATTATCTATTGTTCTATCATTCGAGATCAAGTTCCAATATATATTTCACCCAAGGACATTATATACACTCATTGAACAAAATATGACTCTTTTGGGGGAAATGGGGAAATGTTATTAACGTTCAACAAGTGAAAACAAGAAAACAATGTGTATCAGGGTTTCTGTTTTTATTCAGATTTGCAGATATTAAAGATAATGGATAATAACAAAAATGTAGGTAAATAATAGGTGCAATATGTATTTCACCTCTAAGGTCATAGTTATATTTTACATACATGTACCATTTCAACAATAAAATATTTCAGCTATCCCGACACAGTTCGTATACACACTATATCGGACGGCATATATAAATACTTGTATAACTTGGTCATACCGTTACACAGGTAGCTAATTAAGTACGTCTAGTGATTCATAGCGTTTGTAAGAGAGAAGCAAGTGTATTGCAACACGTTCATATGTACGTTGTTTATGTAAATAGTAAATGTAAATATAAAAATACAACACGTCATGTACCTACAAGGTCCCCGCTCCCCGACAAAACAAAAATATTGATTTCAATAGTGGAAACTTAATATCGTCCCTTTTAGCCACGTTATTTTAAACGAACTACATGTACAACAAAATACAAAGATTCAAAACCGTATACATGTACATGTAGCTCTGAACGTGATTACAATATTTCAATGTTTAACGAATTTCCATAAATATCCGAAACGGACCATTTTCTGACATTTATTTGTTATAAACAAAACATAAAGCATAAATATAGTGTATGTCAGTGTTCTTGATGAATAATGTTTTCAAAGTTTTCCAAATATTAGTTACAACGTACAATAGTGGCCAAACAGAGGTCAAGGTCATTGACAGTGTCACGATGAAAAATACTAAATATTTATTAAAACATGAATTACAAGAAACTTCGTTTCAAGACTTTGATTTAAAATAAAATCCAACATTCAGGGACGGATATTTGAAAAATGAAAACCATTACAGTGTTTCACAACTATGTGAAATTTTACATATTTCACTTCAAGGGAAATAAATCTCCTAAAGTTGAAATGGTACCTGTGTTAGAAAATAGCAAAGTATTGTGACATCACGTATAAGACGAAGGAAAGCGAAAAACTACAAAAACGTACAGCGTAATATTACATTACAAATTTAGCATAAAATTATAACTTTATCTTAATACAGATAGATGAGAGCAAACAGACAAATTATGTCAAACTTATTTATGTAAATATTGAATATTAGTGTTGCTAAGTAAAAAAGGCGGATAGAATAATAATATTGAATTAAATCTGACAAGTGTAGTTTTTGAATGACTAAACTACACAGCAAACTTAACATCTTCACTGGCATAATAATATCAAGGGATGACATTTGCTGCTTTTAAAAAGTATGTAAAACAAAAACATGACACAGAACGTGTAGTACAGGTGTAGAATCGCTCACTAAATATAAATCTTTTTTTATATAAGTAATATTTCCAATCCTCTTAAAGCTAATTGGTTGCACTTTGTACTTTTAGCTCAGCACACATATACTTTGGGGCAATGTCTTCAAACTATCAGTAAGATATTTAGTGAGGTCAAAACCATTTCCTTTTTAAATATTACAGCACATTTATTCTAGGGGAATTGGCGTATATGTGTGGGGGTAACATTGTGATTGTCATAGTAAACTGTACATTGTTTCATGGAACATAACAACAAGTAAGAAAATACTCACACAAATCACAACATAGTAGTTGATGTATATATTGTGAGAACATAATTCATCTTCTTAATTGGACACTTTTCTTTCCCTGTTTACCAAATGGCCATAAGTTGATCAAGTCGAATGAGACAATCAGTAGTAGCGGAACACACAGAGCTAGAACACCTATAAATCCGATCGTTTCTGCAGATTGTCTCTCGTCCCCCGCACTGATGAGTTTCCTCTTGGAAATACTGGTTTCTTTCTTGTCCACTGTCAGTTCCTTTGCCAACTCTTTTATCAATTCCTCCAGCACCTCCCGTGTCAAGTTTGTAGTGTTTGATGAAACGCCACAGACACATTGACATGTAGGGGTCGCTGCGGTCACAGTGTTGCCTGGCAATAACAACGTTGTTGATGTTTTCATCGATGTTGTTGTAGTTACTGCTGTAGATACTGCTGTAGTTTTCGAAGCTGTCGATGTTGGCATTGGTGGTGTTATTTTCCATGTTGTTGTGTCTCGTGTGGTTTTTGAAGTCGTTGACGGTTTTGTTGATGATGTTGTCCATTTTGTTGGCTCCGTCTCAGTTGTCGTAGTTTTAGTTGGTATTGGTGTTGTTGCTGCAACTGCCGATGTTGTCTTTGGTATCGTTATTGCTGTAGAATGATTTGTTTCCCCAATGCATATTGCTGGGTATCCTAAATGTAAAATAGAATCCAATAAAAATACTTTCATGTCAAGGACAGAATCGCAAATGTTTCTATCTTCTAGAAACATGAAATTATGTTGTCACGTGATTTTCTGCCTGCTTCAATATAAAGTGAACTCCACTACCTGCAGATATAAGCATTGCTTTAATGCTTTGAATTTTTATGAAATCATAGGACTTGATAATATCTTTTGTTATAAAATCATATTTCATCTTGGTATCCGGAGGTGTTGAAAACAAAAGCGAATGAAAACAAAACGGCCAGAGTCGGACCACGATATCATTACCTAGACGATCTGGTTGGCTTCAAGTTTTTGGGGTTTTTTGCTGTTGAAAAAAATGAAGTACGCCATTTCCTGTACGCATTTCCATTATAAAATTAAATAATACAAAATATAATTGAGCTCATCTGTTACCTTCAACTGTGACTTCACAAATGTTCATATTTCTTTTGTCAAACGTTTCCATATAAACCTGGACAAATTGTCCGAAAACTGGCGTCCGACAGGTGAATGTTCTGGTTTCCCCGCCACCCATTCCACCTGACACATGGATACACAGGGAATCATCGGTCATGTGATCATCATCTACAAACGTGCCGTTGAGTGACACAAATATGTCGAAGTCGCGCTGTCTCTTTGCTGCAATTACAAATGACTTATCAGTTTGATTGACATGATGGACGTTAATTAAATAATTCTCTCTTATGACAAAATGCTGACATAATATCTATAAAGAATATATAGGACAAAGTCAGTCTTAATGCAGACCGTTGATGCTAATGTGGCAATCGTTTATACGATAACTGGTTCACGGCCCCTTTAAGGATGTACTCTTCAGAGGTTTCACTCACGTTCAAATTTCGTTTTGATTTAGTACAGTATTACAAACTATGATCAATTCAAAAAGCAAGCATGCATCTTCAAAATGTAACAAAACACTAGATGCATATTGTTTGCAGAACTTTTTTACAGGTTTTTTAAATGACCAATTTGACGGCCATTTTGAATATCTCAAAACTATGTATTTCTTAAACTGTAGGCAATGCTAAAATTCCACCTTTTTGACTTTATATCTATCACTAAAACACATTGTATAACCATTTTTTAACGGTAGCAGGGTATAAATGTTTAATATTATGAAACATTATACAACAAAGTGGAAAATTGTACAATATTGGTATTTCATTTATTATCTTTGTCAACTGAAGCTCTTTTGGTGTTTCATCACGCAAAAGGTGAAACATTTAACAACAACAACAAAAGCTACAACAACAACAACAACAACAACCCCTATGTATTTGTGGACAGAAATCTTCAAATGTTCACTGCATTTTGTATCAATGATATGTAAAAAAAATGACTACATTTCAAAGTGAAAAATCACGACAAACTTTAATCTCTCTTGCCGTCATCTGTTGTAACTACATTTTAAAAGATTGTTCATTATTTTGTCATGTTAAAAGATGATAACCTGACGATTTATTATAATTGTTCCAGTTCATTGTATCATGTAACATGTACCTTGATCAAGATTTTACATTATAAGATAGCATAGGCATTGACCAAGACGATTTATGATGTTAACGCTGTCAATTTTGTATTCTCTTCTCAGATCAACCATCCACCATTCTAATTCATTGAGATGTAACACGATATTTGATTGGTCAATCAAAATAATTTGCGACAGTATAACTACGATATACCATCTGCAATTTTTTTCATTTGAATATGAAGCTCAAATGGCGATTATTAATGACGTCAATGACCCCGAATAACCCGCACGCATCATGAAATTGATTATAAATGACGTCACGAACAATAGCGTGACCCGGAAAGGTCAGATAATTTCGCCTCACTGAATATTCCTGTCGCCACCAATCCACGGCAAAGTGATCCGTGATTATGCTGTCGCAAATATCCATTTTACTGACGACGCGAACATATTATGCAACAGTATAATCAAGATAAACCACCGAAAATATCAAATTATAGTAGGGTTATCTCCTAATTGGTATAATAGTAGACCTAAGTAATTTGAACTTTTTTTGGCACAACAGTGAGAAATGAAAAACGCAGAATCAGATGACGACTTCATTGAACTGTGCCGGATTCATGATAAAGGGGTATACCTGTAACGTAACATAGTCATTTGACATACCGGCATGTAGACGGTTTGTGATGTTGACGCTGTCAATTCTGTATTCTCTTTCCAGATCAACCATCCACCATTGGTATAATGGTAGACCTTCCTTCCACCATGTGTGCATACATGACCCGTCAACGAAACGTGGATTTTTGTTACCGTCTACTGCCTTCGACGCTGTGCCTGATGAATACGTGCTGATCTGCAGTGCGGGTTTATTCAATGCAGCGTTCTTAAAACGGAACAACGTAGGATCCACAGAACAATGTTTTGAAAGTCCTGTACAACAATAGATACTTTACATGATGTATGAATATTACACTGGTATATTTCCATTATTGATTGCAGAAATTAACCAGCAATCATTTTTGTACCGTATTTATATTGCTCAATACAAAAGAAGAAAGGGGAAAAAAAAAGAAATAATCACATATTATCCTTTCACTTTTTTCTGTAAATTGCAGGAACCATAATTAATTTAATATTGTAAATCGACTCAAAAGCCGTGAAATACGCGCAAAATATAATCAACGGAATGCTGTGGCAGGGTTAAACAATGAAAAAAGTAAAATGGAAAATAAAAAGAGTGTTATCAAAAGAAAACGTGTTCTTCTTTCCAATACAAACGATGGTAGGCATAAAACCTACCAACAGTGTTTGTTAGGTGGCGTTGCCTGCACGCACAAATCATATAAGCGAGTTACATATGTCTATTTGATATTTAAAGGATAACAAGTAAATCTTAGAATATTCCGAAATATTTTTTATAATTATGTCAACGCCTAATCGAATATTTTGTATAGAAATAATTGCCGTGATCATTATCTCGCAAGTACCAATCTTACAATATTGTGTGAACAGGTGAATACACTTTTTGTGTTTCATTTCAACAACTTTTATTGAAGAAGTTGTTACAAGTCGAATGGATGAAATAACCGACAAAGCCGTTATACTTTCTCTCTCGTCTGTGTTTGTAAGTTTGAACAGTCCATAAACGTTATGTGTAGTTATGAAAACAAATTTGCAGTCAAACCCTTTTTTGTTCAAATTTTTACACGATACGATTGCATCTCAAACACACGCTATATCACAGCAAATATTCTCTTTACAAAATAACAGTTCTCTTGTTTTAATCCTGTTGTTTCAACACCGATTCATGTTTATCAAATAAAAGACAGAACATGGAACAAACAAACAGACAAACAAAACCTCATTTTCCTTTTTGATATACCTTACCTATATTTACCAACCCTACCCCACAAAAAGAAACACATTCCTTATAAATTTGATGTTGTTGCTGAGAGAAGCGTTGTTTATTACTGACAAATTGCTAACACATTGTCTATCAAGGCATCATCAGTGATACTTACAATCATAAAAATGAACATGTACGTCTACAGTGTTGCGAGATATGTGAGAGTACAACGAAAACGGAATGGTACCTATAAATGTTTTGACCATTTCAACATATAGTACTAATAGCTAATACAATCAAATCCGTTTCAACAGGGTTAATTGACAGACTGCAAAATACAGTGTTAATTAGACGCAATAACACTAGAAATCAATCTTTAATCATAGTTGGGCGTTTTGATTATTTTGTATGAATTTCCTGCCCTGCCAAATAGCACATGTGATTACTCATGGCAAATTGCATGAATTATACATACAGGAACATATGTCCTACAATTACACGGATGTATTAAAATAACCCTGTTGTAACACATCAGCCAATCATAGTGCAAACTACACAAAGGCACTATACACTATTCATATACGCACTTTACTTTGGTACAGAGTTCCTATCCTAAGCGAATTCCAACCTTTCTAGTATATACTTGTTCTTACCTTAGTACATTCCCACCATTTCCATCAAAATTCTTACCAAATACCATCTTGCAAAACACACTGTAGAAAAAAAATCCCCAAGAGCTATTTCCGACTGGAACAACTTACCGTGACATATCACCTCTATTGATTCTCTTGATTCCTTTAAGTAAGCACCTTCTCACATTTATTAGACCTTTTGTTATAGAGTTTTTATACAGTTTTTAACCAGCGTAGCTCTCTCTCTCTTTCTCTTGCCAATTATCTTCAACTTGTTGAAGTTTGGCAGTATCCCATAGACATTGACATATAACATGATAAAATAAAATCCTTGTCCACAGTCGTACCATTCTACACTGTATATTATAGCATACTTAGTCCACAGTCGTACCATTCTACACTGTATATCATAGCATACCTAGGTCTAACTTGATAAACTTTCCAAGTCCACACTCAGCTCCAAACTAGTTTTTAGACCATATTGGTCGTCATTATTTGTCCTTCATTCATCCTTTTAGCCGTAGTTATCGTTAGAATTTATCAATAATTGAAAGTTTCCTACCTTGACCATACTGTAAAGACAGTATCATAAGCAGTAGTGCCATGTCCATATCAACACAGGTACACAAACAATAGATTATACTTGTACAGGTATGGACAGTATGTACAGGTACAACATCAGATACACAGGCCTGGGCTCTAACTCCTGAAATGTCACAATACACATGCGTGGCGTGTGTACACTAATGATGAGCCGAAAGGTGTCCTGATGATGTTTGCTGCTTTGTTATGGATACACGAATGATTTCTAAAAGACGCACGCATTCCTAAAATGGAAGCATACGCTACAGGTTCATTATTAGTTCCATTACGTAATAGTAAAATCAGTCTATGGTTAATCGTCGTTTAATCAAATGCTTATTGCGCGTGCAGGTTTATCCCTCACGCCGATTCAAAGTTACAACGAAAGGTAGAAAATAAGTTGTAACGTTATAGTGGAGTTAACTTTGGTCCAAATGAGATCAAAGTGACACGCATATCTGAACGACAAATTGAAACAAAAATGAACTAATAATAAGATGAAAATATATAAATGTTAATCCCTAAGTATAACTAGAGGATCTGCCATAAGTTTCCTCTCATATTAGATTGATGATGTGAGCTCTTACTTTTTCATATTTGCGAGCCTCCGCAAAACTGAAACACTAAAAACGAGTATTATAAATCTAATATAGAAGGAAAAAATGGCTGATTATTTCTACCCTAAATGAATGACGTATTTACCATCAATTTCCTTCAAGCAGCACAAGTCATGTATGATTATTCCTGCAATGAGGAATGCGGGTTCGTGCACATACCGTATACGTTAAGTATATTTTGGTTTTTATGTTTAAGCAATAAACTAGATAAACTTTAAGAAGATGACGAAACAAGTATTTTCGTACCGCTATTGAACCACCAAAACATGTAACTATTTATGCTTCACACGCCATTTTGTAAACAAATAAATGAAAATTTCAACGAAATGCTCATGGAAAGTTCAATTATAAAAACAAAAGTGTTTCCTTTCAAATATTCTTATCCAGAGGGAGAATGCAATGCTTTCTCGAGCGGCTTTCTCGGCAAACTTCGTCGGTAGGAAAAATGAACCGGTCTAGCCCTTTGTCCGAGTTACTACCGACTTGTTCCGGGATTGTAACCTTGCTCCTTCCTTGTCCTGTTGTTTGTGTTATTTTCAAATCAGACGTGATTTTTGGCAGTGCTGCCACTGTCACAGTGTTACCACTCTTTCGGCCTTGATAAGAGGCTTTGTCTTGGTGATACCTAGGTTAGGCAGTTGGCTCTTCAATGGCACCTGTCTCTCGTGCTTGAGGGGTTAATGCAAGCACCTAATAAGCCGATGAGGATTTCTTTCGCAAAGTCTGTTAACTTAAAGATGGTTTTGCTAATCCCTAGCTTCTGGACATAGAAGGAGTGATGCTAATACTTTATATTCTTTTTATCACCCATTACTTCTTCTCTTTCCTTCTCATCCTGTCTGCCCAGCAGCGACATAGGTATTTTAACCCATGTGACATTGAAAGTAGGTCAAGGTTTTATTCAGCGAACATTCCGGTGCTCAATTCAGGAATCTATCAGCTAAATATCATAATTCTAGGCCTTTCGCTTCTTCAGATATATTTTTTGACAGATTTAACATCTGTGGCATAAAAATGATATCAAACATATTTTCATTATTGCACTCGGTCAGGTCTCAGGAACTTGCAAGCTAAATATCGAGGGTTTATATCAGAAATCTACTAGCGTAATATCATGATCCAAAGCCTTTTGGTTTTTCAGAAGAAGACATTAGGAGTTTTTGACATGATTGACCTCTGTGACCTGAAATGAGGTTAAAGTTATGTTCGTTGTCGCACTTTGTCATTCCATGGGAAATTATCACTTACGCTCTCTAAACACCTAGAGACGAAATCGAAGGCCTAGTTTGCGCCACCGTTTGGACGAGCAAGAAGACCTGTTCGATCCCTTGATGTAAACAAAAATAATTTTACGGTTGCGTAAATGTTTTGTTTTTCCTGAGACCATTCAAATAGCTACCTTTAATTTATTTTTAGTGTGGCATATTGTATCTTGTTCATCAAAGCAGAAAACGTCACACTGACCGTCGATGCAAAGAGAGCTAAGGGGTCCAAATAGAGGATTTGTTCTAACGCTTGCCTATCGTCTTCCGCATAGTTCGTCTATGTTCTAGTTGGAAAAAAGATAGAATTGTCCCTGATATTTTTGTCTGTGTTGAAACTGATCAAACTGTATATAAGTATTTAATTTCGGGAACTATTCCATTTTAAGTACACATACAATTTCAGTATTATTGGCAAACAGGCCAATATTCACATGAACATGTCTTGTTTTTGAATTTGTATGAAATACATAAAGGATCTAACATGAGTTTCCATTTCATATGAGATTTATGAAACGAGTCTCTGGCTAGCTAAAATGAAAGATTTGTGACGAGTTTCATCAATTTTATATGAAATGAAAACGAGTGTAAGATCCTTTTTATCACATAATCAAGATTTGTGGCTTAAATTTTGTAAAACGACCATTTTTATGCAACTTTGAAATGTAAAAAAAACGTCATTTTGACTCCAGTGCGTAAGTCTGTGACGTCATGTACTTATCCTAGGCGTGACGTCATAATTGAGACAATTGAAACTTTCGACCAATCACAGGGTGGATAGGTCATATTACATGGGTTAATACGCAAACAAGTATGACATGGGTATATTCACTGGATAACACAATACATTATGTGATAAAAGTATTTCTATAATCTGAGATTATTTCTGCTGTCCGAAACAGAATGCATAGTCATTGGTCGTTCTGTCATTCTAAACAATGGAAACAAATGTATTTTTTTTTAATTTGTTATATGGTTATGCATTTTAAGTAAACATCATAGTAAACCATTGTAACATTTAAAGATGAAATACATTTAAATAAAGTGTTTCAATAATACCACAAATTCGTACCATTTCAATGGGAACTGAAACAACATGATTTATTTCATACGTCGTGGCCTACAGTCGATATGTACAGAACTCTGTCCTAGTAAATGTTCAACGAATCGTACCATATAACATTACCACATTTAGTATTAATCAAAGTGTATACGAATGAGCTAAGTACGTTATTTTTCGAGTCTATACTGGCGAGTAAAACATGACATTTGATTTAAACTCTCGGCCTATCGGTGTCTAATCCAGTTTCATGTTCATATCGCATTTATGGACGTTCAAGACAGTACACTTGTTACCAAACAAAAACTCTTACCTGACATTCTTTTTCAATTCTCTTTTCTAAAAGAAATTCTTGAAAAATGAAAGTTCCTATCAAAGGATCAAGAGCGGTTTTGTTTTACAAAATGTGTTGTATTTTCATGAAAAAGAGATTAATGCAGTTTATAGAACAGACGACTTGTTTTCAACAATTGCTCTTTAATTGAAAAACGACATTATAAAAATGTATCAATGACTGTTGCTAATTCCCAGGCCTGATTGGAGGAGCGACGTCATGTGACGAGTCTATAAATATGTTACAGACCTCGTTCTATGAATAGAAAAGTGTTACAGACCTCGACCTATAAATAGAAAAGTGTTACAGACCGCTACTAAAAATAGGCCTAGGTAATTTCCCAGACATTCTGTTATTCTGTTACCAATCACACTTCTGAATTCAACTAAAAATTAATTATCTCATCAAATTCTGAACTATGTGAATACTGATGATGTCGATTGTGCAAATAATATTTACTTAAAATTAAATATCACATTAACTGAATCTGAAATTAAACTTGTCTGTATGCTAATTTGTATTTGAAGTCCTTCACTCTGTGACTCCGAAATGATCCATGCCATCCATGTGTTTATGACTTGAAAAAATATTAATCTCATTGCAAAATGTCATTTAATAAAACAATTGTGGACTTCAGTTTCGGTCTTTCCCTGATTTACGGACCTGGTCTGAAAAATATTCACCTCGCCCTTTGGCCTATGTGAATATTGTTCAGACCAGGTCCGTAAAACAGGGGTAGACCTTCTTCGTGATATTAAATTCATGAGGAAATCAAAGATAACTTTTAAGATGTTTACATCTTCTAGACCGATGTTGACTTCATTAACTTCATTATACACACAAGCAATACCACATAGAGTTGTTTTTATAACATTATTACCAAGGTAAGCTGTGTAATAATTAAAGCCATAACATACATATTCGTAATGACACAAGTGTAATACGGCCTTCAGCTTCGTTGATGGCAGAGTCCATGTGAATTGTATTTATACACGTAGGAACGACCTACTTCTTTTTACTACAAAGCGTAAAAGCGACGACTATGTCAAAGAACTTAATCACTTAATCATTCCTTCGAAACAGTTTATGCAAATCAACAGTAATTTTCATTATGTAAATAATTAAAACGATATGATATTCTTATCAGAATATATTGAATTTCCTTTCAAACACAAGTGTGACACGTCCTTAAATGACCTCAGCTGTTGATAGG